AGACACATCGTTACAATTAACAGACAAGTCACCATGACTTACTTTCCTGTTTGCATCCAAGACGCTCTGTCCCTTCTTTGACCCAGGCATTGTTGAACTTGACCCAATTCCAAAAACGTTCCAGATATTGCTTGTTCAAAGAGGACTTGACCGGCACCAGGAAAGATGAACGGTGACTATCCAAACTTTCACCAACTGTTTGAATCCGCCAAAGTCTGTTTCTACCATCAGAAACTGTCAGCCACGTCTCATAAACCGTTAATGCCCAGCTCTTGCTACGCTCGGGCCTACGCTGTTCCTTGAAGTTTTCAGAAACGCTTAGTTATAACGGACGATAAAACCAAAACACCGATTGGCCGCTTGGGAATTCTTTATTGTTACACCAACATATAAAAATAATAATTGAACTAAGGTCTGTGAACAAATATTACAATAATAAATCATAAGATTACTTCTGATGGTTTACTACTGACTTCTTTCTGAACAGCGACCGATGAGACGATGACTGTCGTATTGATGCCTCCGCGAAAATTGGGGAAGTTGGGTTTGAGCAAACAACCAAGAATTGATTGTTCAATCTTCAACTACATTGACAGTAACATTTAAGATTGTAACTAGGGTTAGGGCTAAGTGAGACTCCATAAATTAATAACAGATTTTGAGCACATTTACCATATCCAGATTTTTAAGGTTGTTGGTTTGACTCAATCGCCTTTCATTCATCTAGTCGTCTTAAATATTTTCTGGAAAACTAAACATCTTGTGAGTCTGTTACAGTTTTCCTTTAGCGTAATGGCCATTCCTCCTAATGACCCCAAACGTAACCGACTGTCTCCAGAATTTTTTTACAGCCTATTATTCACTTGTATAGGTAAAGATTCTTTCGTTGATTGTTAAATAGGAACTGTCAGTGGAGGAGAACACTGAACGTTTATTTTTGGTACTGGTAGCCATTGGTGGGAAATTCGAAGGCGCGAATGGTTCTATCGTGTACATGTTCGACAAAGACGAACGAAGACAAATAAAAGTACATAATAATTTCGTATAAAACATTTGTTTATATACTTGTATTATTCTCCGCTTTACTTGCCAAACAATATAACTTCCTCTTTACAATACTGGTGTTTTGGAGTTAAAGTCGAAGCAAGTACATAGTGTTTATCGTTGCGGAGCGTCTTCGTAACAACAGGAACTTAGGGATAAGTTCCTTGACAGGAACGCTTAGTATTTTTTCAGAGGGCACGACAGGTTGTACCACATTTGTCTGACTTTATAAGTGGCGAACATCATCAAAATAAGTTGGCCTGACAATCATGCAATTTCGCGAACCTAAAAATTCGTGTAAAACTAAAATACCTAGATTACGGTATGCAATCTGCACGGTCCTCGGCGTAACGGTCTTGCAATGCCTGCTAGCACACAATAACATGGCTACTTATGCATCGCTTGCAACGAATGTGTGTGTGACTTGCGATAGCTTCTATCCCACACTGAATCTCTCTACCTGTATAATTTAAATCTGAAATCTCGTGAAACACTTATTTGGCAATTTAACTACAAGACACAGAACGTTTTCAAAACTTTATTATTCCTTTATGTCACCAGTGAAACACATAGGACAAGCCTTTAAGCTACAGCTTTGAAGTTTCGGTAGCTAGCTGGGGTTACTAGCCGTATGCCCCCAACCTTTCCTTCTTTACCAGTCTTAGCACTGGCTTAACGAGAGAAGTAAAGGAGCGTGCGTCGGTGGCTGGGGATCGAACCGCCAAACCACCTGAATGGTCGGCGAGCACTTCATTGCTGTACCACCTGGGAAGGGGGCTTTTCAAAAACTATACACCTCCTAACATCATGCTGACAACACAACTTGGACCCAACAATAACAGTGAAAAAGGATTACCAGAAAGCGTAGTTTATCTGAAATGTGTAATTTATTGGTGCAACACATTTCGCACATTCTGACCACCCACTCACGTAGTTGTCAAACACAGTTCTTACAGAATGCAAGAAGGCATGAATAATTACAATGCGGGTCAGACTGTGTACAGGTTAAGTTCACAAATAATGGGTAGGGAGACGCAAAAGGCGTGGATAAGAAAGACAGAGAGAAAAAACGGCAAAGAAGGGGTTTGAAGATATTATGAAGTAAATTGGTCCTTGGTCCTAAATTGGATTGCCAAGGCAGGTTTAAGGTGATAACAAAAAGCTTTTGGACACATAAGACAGTTTTAAGTCTTTTTATGGCTAAGGGTTCAATGGATGTAAGTATGTGGCCCAACCTTGTTTTATATCGGCTTACAGGCGCCGTGCAAATCAACCTTGTGACCCGTCTCTATAATATGCTTCGCTACAGATGACGTTGGACATCTATTTCCGGGATCAGTTATGCCTAGCGACTTCATTTGTTGTTGCAGCCATTTTGGAATGTGTTCTGTAGTCCTAACCTGCGGAGACCGATGGGTCCTCCCTATGTACGTGTGTCCACACACATACATGTAGATTGATAAACACAGTGGGGTGTGACACTATCGTTCGGAAAATGTGAAGGTTTACAGGACAGCATGGTTCTCATTTTCTCTATGAAGATAAGTTTATCTGAATAGTAGGTTCTATTAATTGCGGCTTCGAGTCATTGTCTAGTGACCAGACTTTGTTGACCACCTTTGGGCGGTAAGGATATGTAAACATCTTCTTTGGGAGCTGATTGGATTGGTAAAGCTCTATAGTCGACACTTCCGTAACGCCTAATAATTGCTATATAACAAAATATTTCATTGAGGTGTTGTCTTTCTTCTTCAATTGTATCATCAGTACATAAAGATGAATGCGCTTGAACAAACATTTAACCAACGCCTTTTTAAACTGTAGTGGACAGAAACAATGATAATTTAGATACTGTCCTGTCCATATGAACTTTCTGTAGACACAGATCAGGATGTCCAAAATGTGTTGCGCCAATCAATACGTTATACGTTTCAGATAAACTACGTCTTCTTATTGTGTTGTCGAAATTCATAAACAGGACTAATCGCTTTAAATTTAGATTACCAGAAAAGTAACCCACCGACACATCAGTAGATATCACCCTTCTTAAGTGAATAAGACCAAAAAACACAGGTGGATTGTGACTTTCAATTATAATTTTATTCAAATTAATAATAAAAGGTTATATAACAAGAAAAACTCACTCACAGTGACATATTTGCTCACAAAATGAACAGTGATATATGTAATATATATATATGCATGTACCTAAATGGTCGGTCTACAGTGCTAATTATTGTTATACAACAAACACTTCGGCAATCAGCAGATAGTAACGCACGCAAGCACGCTCACACACACACAGAGTCACGCAAAGGTTATCAAATATGTGTGTGAAAACATGCCAGTGTGTGTGTGCGCGCGTGTTATGTAAGCAAATGTTAAAACAAATAAGTTACATGATTTCTTTTTCAAAGACTAGAAAGAGGTGGTGTATGTGGTGTCAACAAATAAAAGTGTAAATACGACAGTCTAATCCACATGTGTTCGTCACTGTGTAATATTAGAAATCTATAGTAATAATAATTATAATAATAATAATAATAAGCATTAGTGACACAAAATGAGAAAGTGACAGAACCAAAGAGACTTTGTTTTAAAGTACAGCTGTGTGTGTGCATGTGTATAGAGAAAATAATGGACATTAAAGCGATGCAAAAGCGGCACTATATCAAAAAAGGAGAAGGAGGTGTTTCAAACCAAATGTAATATACACAAAAGACAAAAGAAAAAAAGGGGTGTGCATATGCATATGTGAGATCATTGGGTGTTAAAAATTAATTTCGTTGTTGTTGTTTGTAAAATAAAAAAAAACAAGAAAGTTGATTTCCGCGCCAAATGTTTCGTTAACAAGTAAAACAAAAAAGGCAAATTGTTGAACACATTTAACACTCTTGACAGGAAAATTCGGTAAAAAACAACAACAGCAATAATAATAGAATGTGTCATATGTGTCAAATATCATTAAACAATCCATCCATCAGATGTGAATTTCATCAACAACAAAAATAGGAAAGCAAAACAACAACAGATGCTCCTTCCTGAGTGTTTTTCAAACCGAAAGAGAAAGAACCACACACACACACACACAGATATGTTGATGTGTAGAAAAGGATGTGGAGAGCAAAAGCATTTACAAACCTAAGAATCCTATTTCGCTTGTGTATATGTGTAATAAGGCTTACTTTAGAATGAAATAACAAGAAAAGGTGCAGGAGGCGGGGGGTTCGTAAAGAACCCAAAGAAGCACCATTTTGAGGAGGAGGAGGAGAAGACTTTTTGTTCAAGCTGTATCGCCAAAAGTGAATATTAAAATAGTTCAGGACCACACACCCCACGAGACTAAATTACGCAAAAAGTCACACACAAACATATAGGTATAAACATGTGTATAATGTTTGTGGAAAAAAATCGATGTGTTATCATCAGTGTCTAAAAGTGGCGACTAAAACAAAAATTGCAAAATGTAGTAGTTTCCAACAAAAAAACACGTTCGTTCAATATGTCTAGTGTTCAATGTCCAATGTACACAAAGTGGGGGGTGGGGGTGGAGTTGGGTTGAAATTTACTGGTCTCTTCTTTTCTTTTTCTTTTCCTTTCTTTCATTCATAGGTCAAAAGATACAGGAGGTGATCAGTGGGAAAAAAGAGTAATTAGTAACGATGAGAATGCTATCATTAAAAATTAAAAAAAGGAGGGAACTTTGAGATCCCACAGAGATCCGCACACACAAACACGCTTATTTGTATGCGAGAAGAAGCATACAGGATTCTTTTTCTCAGGCTATCGGCAGGTACTTTTCTCCTTCCTTTTTCTTTAAAATTAGTAAAAAATTCGAGGTGGTCGGGGGGCGAGCGGGAAAGCATTTTAAAAGTAGACAAATATCACATAGGTACATGTATGTATGTATGTATGCATGTTCGTGTATGTATACGCATATTATATGTATATATCTTCTATCTATTCACAGATGAATCACGAGCTTGACGTGTACTACTAACACCACCTGGTGTTAAAGTACTACTACCAGGAGCAACAGAAGCACGATTATATTTATCCACTATACGTTGAAGTCGTGCATTTTCTGACTTTAAATCTTCCAGTTTTGATTGAACTTCACGAAGCTACAAAATAGTAAAAACAAAAAGAAAAGTTAATGTAAGTGTGGGATACTTGGTAACTTTAGTAGTAGTGTGGTGAGAGCTGACTGCTAGCTAAATATTGGTAGACAGTAATTTACGTCAATGTTTGCGTCCACAATATTGGTCATGAGAAAAGAATAAGAACAAAGACTGATTCAACAACCAACCACAGAAGACTTTGCGTAGGCGGATACAGTTAGCAGATAGATGATCTGACACTCAAGAAACAGCCACAAAGAGATGAAAGATTAACTTTCTGTGAGAAACAACCAATCAGAAGACTGTTTTTCGGCTAACAATATTCTATAATAATGTACATGAAAATCTATAAATATGTGGTGATTTCCTTAATAAACGATCTAATGCCTGACCCTTGTCTTCTGACGTCACACTACTACTGAGAAGTTTCAAATTAGGCTAAAGACAAGTGTCTTATAACTTCTTGGCTTTCCATGACATGTCAGTTCATGATCAAACATGAAAATAATTTAATCCTTACAACAATTGTGACATTATCATGGATTTATTTCCAACTGTTCTTTCTAGTATTGGTTTTGTAGGGATTTTGTATAACTGGCTACAGGATTTCATCATGAGGTAGCTGACATCAGTTAGAGAACTAATGGAAAACCTGCAAGGAGTACTGGACAGCTGCTGTTTCCTCCATCCTAGTTTGGGACTCTTCAGCAGTACGTACCAATCAAAAGGGTTCGAACCCAGGATATTCTGGTTACAAGACGAGTGGGTTCATACACTATTAAGGCAACTGGGAGCCAGTCCAATGGTCCACGAATTCTAACTTCTACCAATTCGAGATTTCGCGCGACCACCAACAAGAGTCATCGGTGGGAAATCTATCTTCACACTTGACCGGTTGGAGCTCACTGGTCATGACTTCCCACCAGAACCTACCTTTCCAATGGTTCTCTAACCAATGTCAGCTCACGCTGAAATCCTGTAACCAATCAACCAATTCCCTACAAACGAATACTTGAATATCAATGAGATGCTCACTAGCAGGTGGCCCTATTCAGGTATGTAGTACATGGGATTCTAATGGGAAGTCGTGACCAGTAGGGTGCAGAAGGTTGGGTGTGAGGACAAATACTCGCCAGTGATGATATTGGCTAATGGTCATGTTATGTCATGAATTGGTAGAAGTTAGAATTCATGCACTGGTTGGCCATTGGATCAGGTCCCAGTTGCCTTAATAGTCTACGAGCTCACTGGCCTTGTACCCAGAATATCCTGGGTTCGGACCCTGTTGGGTGGGTACGTATTGCTGAAGAGTCCCACACCAGGACTAACAATCTGCCCAGTACTCCCTAGTGGTTTTCCAGTGGTTTTCCAGTGGTTTCCTAACCGATATCAGCTCATGGTGAAATCCAGTAACCAAATAATCAAAAGGTTTATTAACTCTTGTATATTCCATCTATTCATCTTAATTACTCTATCGCTTTAATCCTACCCAAGCTACTTAAGAAAAAATGTTTCTACACTACGAAGAGAAGTAAAAAAAACTATCAGTGTCACTGTAAATGTTCTGTTAATTATTCCTTTCTCGCCATCCCGCTTACTATGGAATTGAAAGAGAAAACTAGATGCAGTAGTATTATACCACATCATGATGGGAATTCCACATTATATCAAAAGTACTGTTTGGAAAAAGCTATTAATATTATTATTAAAAATCCATTGCTCGATCGATGCTTGAGTAATTCCCTTACTATATGATGTGTCTTACTGAGAAGAATCTGTGAGAAGCATATATATATATATATATATATATATATATATATATATATATATATATATATATATATATATACTTTTGATTGGATACTAGTTACTAACTACTGTGTGTCTAATCATTTTTTGACGAATCCTACTAATGAGTGGAACCTAGCGTAAAACCTAGGTCCAACGCTTCCCCATGGATTGCCTCCGGCTGCTTCTTCGACCGGCCAGTTTGTCAGTCAGTTTTCGCTTATAAGTCTTCGATTTTGTGTGTGTGACATTAAACATTAAGCATCCACGCGCGAAATCCAGGTCTTCAAGGTTCTTCAAGTCGGTCCAGGATATCCCTGTCTTCTCGTTCCCCACTGTCTGACGCACAATCCAGTCAGTCCACCACAATTAGGAATATCATCGCAGGTGATAATAGGCAGGCACCCTTGTCTGACTTCTGTGTTTACTCCAAACGCCTCAATGAGACCAAAATATTAGTGGATTCCTATCATCACAACTATACTTTATATACAATTACATTTAACCATTACAATTATAATTACACACGTTCAGTATTTAATCGGTAGGTATTCATTGCAATATTTTTTCTTCAGAAAATATCACTCTGACTATTAATATGCTACAAGCAACCGATAAACACGCGTACCCAACCCCCCCCCCACACACACACACAAATACAAGGATATTTCTTTAGATACATTTGGCATTTATAACACATTACTGACAACTAAAGTTATGCAATTCAACTGTCTACTGATTAAAAACCAAAATAATTAGTAGTATGCAAAATTATTTCGTCTAGACATAGGGATTCGCTGTCTACACGTGGGCACACACAGACATACACACACACATTGCTATCTACTAATATCATAATTAACACTTGAGAACTAGAAATGAGGGGAAAATACAGCAGCAGTTTTACATGAATTTCATGATTTCAGAAGAGACTTAACCTATGATGGCTCCTTATAGAGAAGAAATTCAACGTCTTTGAGAAGAAAAATATTCTTCGTCGCAACGCTAAGAGTAATGTGAAGTGGTAGAGCACATTGACCGCTTCATTTATTTCGGAAGTACCACCATCAGCCAGCGTCAACGGGTTGATCTCTGACGAAATCTCAGTAGGGATACAAAGGGCTAGTTTCGCATATGCCAGTTTACACCGTCTCTGGCTTCGTAGACGTGATATCCGGCTAGCTGGCTGGCTGTTGACCAAAGGGCGGATGTACTGTTCAGCAGTCCACTCTGTCTTCCTTTATGGCTGAGACCTAGACATTGAGAGTGGAAGACATGAAAAGATTAGCTGTCTTTGATCATGAGTGCCTGCGCTTTACCTCGCGTGTGAAGTGGTAGGTGTGCTGGGGTGAGCAGTATTGAGGTTAGGCGTCGGTCGAGTGCCAGGTAGGTAAGGAGGGGAAATCGACCAAAGAGGCTGTGAAATTACATCGACTGAGATGGTTAGGACATGTGTCACGCACGCATGCTTAGCCTAGTCATCGCCTTCATCTACAACAGGAAATGTTAGCTGATATAGGGTCAGACTGGAAAAAAGCAAGCACATGGTGGTCAAACCGAAACATGGTTTCACCAGTCAATCAAATCCAAAACAGTTAGTTTAAGCAAGTCAGCCAGTCACGTAGGAAGGTGTAGACTGCCTAAGTGGCTGGTTGGAGTTCTCGGGACGGTAAAAACCAATGGAGGCTGGAAACAATTGGTGATATGGCTCACAGTGATCGTTCTCAATGGCTAGCTGGTGCAGATGCATACACTCCTTGTGACTTATGATTTCTAATGAAACTATATTGTTCTTCGTTATCACTGTTCCTTTATGCCACACCTCTGTTTACTGTCGCTATTATGCATTTCAACTTTCTTCTCTTGCTTTGTGTGCTACATGTGGGGAGTGTGGCAACTTGAACTTCCGCACATATGTGCAAATTTCTATGTCGAAAACAGACAGTTCTCCTGTCGTTCAGTGGCATAAAGAAGCCTAGAAAAGATATGATCTTAAGCATTTGAATACATCTATGTGGATATATCAGTACACATGTTGTTTTAATGTCAGGTATGTTCACTGTTCGACGAGTATCCTGTCTAAAAAAAATTCATTCAAGAACACTATCCCCTTGAATGACTGCAAAAAGGTGGTGGTAGTATTGCTTCTCTTTAAGAAGTGTGATAATTGAACGAACATTTTGTCAACAGACATGAAGTCATTCTACTTTAAAGAACTCCTTCTTCAAAGTAATCTATAGAGATAAAGTCAACAATTATTATTTATTTTTGTATCCTTTAGTTCCTAGAGGAACATAGGGCTCCAGCTGCGCACCTCCATTGCCTTCGGTTTTCTGACAACTTTTTCACCCCGCTCCAGGTCTGTCCACATGCTTTCATCTCCTCCTCGCATGACCTCCTCCAAGTCACTCTTGGACGACTAACTCGCCGCCTCCCTTTCGGGTTCCACTCGAGGGCTTGTCTAGTGATGTCACTTGATGGTTTCCTCAGCGTATGGCCAATCCATCTCCATTTCTTCCTGCCTATTTGTTTCACAATCGGTTTCTGATTGGTTCGCTCCCAGAGATCCCTGTTGCTGATCTTTTCTGGCCATCTGATCTTGAGTATTGAGCGAAGACAGCTGTTAATGAAGGTCTGAAGTCAACAAGCAAGCTATCAAAGACAACAGTCTACACTTTCGCCTTCTTTGTATTATTGAAGGCACTAACTTAGAAAGTCTATCCGAACTAGATAAATATCCTGCTAATGAGTTTACTAAAGCAATGAAATTATATAAGGACAGAAACAAGGCCGTCTATCCAATGATTTCTGAAATTATCCCAAGAAACTGTGTAAAAGTAAGCAATTTTGCACAAAGTGGAATTACCAGGCAACACCCTATGGATACAGGTCATTTATTGTATGGAGGAATCCATCATGAGCTGACATCAGTTAGAGAACCACTGGAAAACCACCTGGGAGTTCTGGACAACTGTTTCGTTCCACTTTGGGACTCTTCAGTAGCACGTACCCACCGGGGTTCGAATCTAGGACCCACTGGTTACAAGGCGAGCTCGTAGACCATTGAGCCACTGGGACCCGATCCTATGGTCCTTGAATTCTAACTTCTACCAATTCACGACATAGCGCGACCACTTCGCAATGTCTTCTTCGATGAGTTATTGCCTCATCTTCGACCTGCTGTACCCTAGTGGTGACGGCTTCCCACTAGAACCCCAGGTTAACTGCCTGAATAGGGCCAGTCGCTAGTGAACGTCAGATTAATTTTCAAGTATTGGTTTTGTAGGGATTTTGTTTGATTGCATGGAGGATTTCATCATGAACTGACAACAGTTACAGAACCACTGGAAAACCTGGGAGTACTGGACAGCTGTTTCGTCCTAGTTTGAGACTCTTCGTCAGTTTTCCAAGGCTCCCAGTGGTTCTCTAACTGATGTCAGCTTATGATGAAATCCTCCATAAAACCAAACAGGTCATTAAGTCAAGATTTCTAAGTCTTTCGAAATATTAAACACAAAGAAAACGACAGCAAATTTACTACAATTTGCAATCAGACGTTTCAGACTAAACTTTCGCATACAAAAAGAGAGTATAATCATTTATGTAAGTATAAAACTTGAGCACTGTGGTGGTAGAGTATAGCTCCATTATGGATAAGATTTTATTTTGATAAAGTGTCACACAGTGTTGTTAGTGTGTACGTCGATGACACAGTGGTTATGACTCTCGCCAACCATGCACATGGTCCGAGGTTCGATCCCCTGCCGAAGCACACTTGATATCTATGGTCGGCCTGCAAAATTTGGTCTACCGATATCTATGCTGAAAATTCCGTACTTATACCAAAAATACAGTGTGAAATCAAGCTGTAAAAAAAATGTAGTAATATTAACTGATGCGACCAGGTTTCGAGCACAAATTATCACAGCCACTCATAATCACACCAAGGGATTCACTCACACAACTTTTTACTTTATTTATGTAAATGTGTGGAATTGACTAGATGTTTAAATAAAAAATCAATATATGATAATGTTCATTCAAAAATAACAATATGAGTGTTACTCATCAATTACAATCAGATGGGAAATAAGATGTTTTCATAGTAAAGTAAATAAATAACTTGGTAGAATGCTATAATGTGAACTGAAATACATTTTAACATTATTTATTATCCTCTGATTTGACTAGTGGTAATAATATCTTCCACACATATCTCTGTTATATTTGCATTGAGTCATTTCTGTTGCATGTGTTATGCTGGGTGTAGACTCAATGAACAAGGATTCCGTAATCAACCTCTCTCTCTCTCTCCACCTACATATGTTACTTTTTAGAATTTAAACCCTATCCAACCCTATTGTGTGGTTGTTTGTTAATGCACGCGGTGCAATGTAGTGCTGAGCTTTTTTCTAAATTACTTATCTTTTCAGGGTCAACCATTCTTACATTAGCTGAATTCTTATGTTCCATCAATCTGATTACACCCGATCTACTAGTTTGAGCTATATAGTTAACCTCATAGTCATTGCAGGGTATTTTGTAAATTATATTATTTTGTTTAATTGAGTCAACAGGGTCCTTTAACCTACAGAGCTTGTCTCTGAGTGAGTTTGTAGGTTTGAAATCCACCCTAATTCTTGTTTTATTAAGAATCCTAAGTAGGGCCTCAGATGTCCCCCCTCTTTATATGGTATAACAGTAGATGCCTTATTTATGTTATCGCTACCAGTTTCACAATTATTTTCATTTTGCTTTTGATCTTTTCCGATCTTCCTAATGAATTTTATTTTATTTTTGATTACAGCTTGATTTCACACTGTATTTTTGGTACAAGTATATGGAATTTTCAGCATGGATATCAGTAGACCAAATTTTGCAGGCCGATCATAGATATCAAGTGTGCTTCGGCAGGGGATCGAACCTCGAACCATGTGCATGGTCGGCAAGAGTCATAACCACTGTCCCACCGACGCACAATTTTATAGGATGGTTATTTGATATCAACGCTTCTTCTGTCTGTTTTATTTCATCATTTAGGTCTTTTTTGTGCTACTTAGTGCTACTGCTCGGTTTGTTCAGCACTTAACTCACTCATTCACTCCCTAAGTAACTGCATTTTTCATTACGTTGATTAGTGATTTCAACTTATTGAGCAAATTTTCAATTTTGAATTACCATGTGAACATACATGGTAACAACGCTGTTTATCGAATTTTTCTGTTTTCTGTCTTCTCCCTCTTCCCCTACTTCTTAAACCAAAGTCAATTGTATTGTAACCTCCTTTACCCAACCGACCTGGGAAGCCTCCTTTCAACCACAGACGGACGGAACTGGCGAGGATATTAAAGCCAGAATCGGAAAAGCAAGACAACTTTCATTACTCTCAAGTCTGTGTGGCGGTCAACACCACTAAGCAAGAAAAATACGATACGGATTTTCAACTCTAATGTGAAGTCAGTCAGTGTTACTCACTATACGGATCAGAGAGTTGGCGCGCCATAAAGAGCATCTCAAACAAACGACAGACCTTCCCTAACAGCTGTCTTCGCTTAATACTCAAGATCAGATTATCGGCCAGAAAAGATCAGCAACAGGAATCTCTGGAAATGAGCAAACCAACCCAGCAGGAACCGATTGTGAAACAAATAAGCAGGAAGAAATGGAGATGGATTGGCCATACTCTGAATAAACAAACCATCAAGTGTATACAATTGGTGGATGGTGGCTAGCAGTGGAATCCAGGATGCGCATTTCGTCCTAATTGAGACTCGTCATCTGGATGTACCTGCATTTCTCAAAAATTCAATTCAATAATCAAAACCGTCAAGTGAGTGACATTACTAGACAAGCCATCTCTCGAGTGGAAGCCGACAGAATGGGAAGCGGCGAGTTGGTCGTCAGTGCAAGGGTGACTTGGAGGAGGAGGTCATGCGAGGAGGAGATGAAAGTGTGTGGGCGGACTTGGAGAGGGGTGAAAACGTTGGCAGAGAACCAAACGCAATGGAGACTTGGGCGGCTGATGCCCTTTGTTCCTCTAGGAATTAAAGGAAATAATAATAAATAATAATAATAATTGACATTGTGTTGTAATTCCAATTTTTTCCAGAATTCATCTACTGCACAAGTCCAGCATACACACATACAGAGAGATGAATAATACAAGAATGAAAACACAACAGTAATATAAATAAAACAAACAACAACAACAAAAATAAAAAGAGAAAACATACTTCACGTTGACATTTTCTGCGTTCTTGTTTCAATACTTCTTCTTGTTCTTCACATGCATCTGCAATTGCCTTATATCGTTTGGTTTGACCTTCTAAACGTACAATCTATAGACAGATATATAACATAAACACAGAAATGCAGATAAAGTCACCTATATGTTAAAAAAAGGAACGCAGAGACTATTTGTGCATAAGGAAAGGATTATTGATCAAACCTGTTCAAAAATAGAGGTGTCTGTGTTGATTTGTCTGATTACTAGGCTTCTAGGAATGCCCCCCACCCTAGCACGTTTAGTGTTTCCATTTGTTTAAAACGTCTAGTAAAACCATTACGAATAATTATAATAATAATAATAATATGGCACACAAACCAACACAATCACTTCATTCAATACTATGCATACCAAAAGATCAAACAACAGTCAAGGAAGACACGATCGACTGAAACTACTTTTAACTGGTCAGAGTGGGCATCCCTTACACGATTCTAAGTCCAAGAACATAAACTAGCTTAAAACAAGACATATAAGCGAACAATATTGTTGTTTTCAATTAGATCCTCATCTTCAGGCTTTACTCTAATTTACATAGACTTATATATAAAAAATTTCAACCAATGACGGTGATTTTGTGGATCAAATAATCTTAATAATAATAATAATGTGGTAAATGTTTTGAAAGTAGTTAATAACGATGATTATAATGATAACAAAATATTGATAATAAGGTTTATGCAGGTGGTGATAAGAGTAACAAAGGTAGTATATGTCTATATGTGTATATATATAGACAATTCAATAAATAAATAAATTAGGTCAAATCCTAAAAGTTACGCAATACTACAGGTGAAGTGGACAGATAATCAGAGTTTAAATAAATATCATAAAAGTACCAAGGAGATGGAAATTAAGAAAGGGTGGAAGTGTTTTGAATAGAATTCACCTAGGCCAGACAAGGGAGAGACAAAGGTAGAACAAACTTCTTTTGTTGTATGCAAAGACTAGGATTGTTCTCTCGAATTTCCCCAAATACCTTCGGCTACGTGTAAAAGATGGATTCGAATTCCATTCAAAAGGTTCGATGGAATGCGATAGATAACTTCGAAGGCACTATTTCTGCCCACTTGATGACCGCTATCAACCAAATGAGCCAAAATCTAACTTCTTATGGATTTTATTTGACGTTTTCCGAACCATGAAGGAAGATGCTCATTAACGCGTTTGCTAAGCTGTCTGGTTGTTCGCCCTATATAGCTTTCTCCACAGGAGCAACTAAATTTATAGATGCACATAGAGGTAGCACAGCTAGGTAGCTTGAGTAATCATAATTGATCGGCTGGAAAATGACAAACAAAGGGTGGCGGCGGTACACGTCCGTTTTATCGCTCTCGATAATCTCAGAAGTAAGACTTCACTAGCCACGTCCCCATTAAATTGCAATTTCATGAACAGTTGTTTCTTTTTAACTGTTGTCACTTTTTCTTTTTGTTGTACTTGGCATTCATGTGTCTCCTTACAAATCTACTAAGATAACCTGTTTGGATCAGCGTACTTTGAATGTATCCTAACTCATTTTGTAGGGAGTCATCTGTACAGATACGCCTTCGTCTTGCTCTCTGTGTGAGGCATCTGACCAAATTGACTTTGTATCGGATTAGTACAAAACTGAGGAAATGTGTATATTGTCCTACAGATGTAGGTTTTCTATAAACATCTCTTTGAGTGAACCATCCTCTCTTCTGCTCAATTGGACGTCAAGTGAAGATGAGCGATGGATGTACATCATTGAATTTTATAAACATTTCATTCTTGTCAGCTTTCACGTCAAGAATAATAAACCTATCATGAACATAACGAAAATAAGAATCAGTTTTTCTATTACTTGTTTCAATGGATTATTTTCAACCTTGGCAAGAAAAAAATCTGCCAATATTGGCCCCAATGGAGAACCCATGGCAATGCCATCGATTTGTCTGTAGTAAAGGTTGTTGAGTGTGAAGTGTACATTCATAGTACATATTAAAAGCAACTCTTTCAGACTAATAACTGGAACTCCGATGTCGAACTGTTTTTCTAGTATCTGTTGGCATATGAACTCCACAGTCTCCATAAGTGGTACACTGGTAAACAGTGATGTTACATCTAAGGATAGCATCTGCTCGCCAGGCACTCATATGCTTCTTCAGAGTTCGACCTCTAGCCGACGCATTCCTTTACCTTACTAAGCTGGTGATAAGACTGATAAAGAGAGGAGGTTGGTTGCATGAGGCTAGCAGCTCCATCCCGTAAAAGCATACAAGTAAAAAACCCACTGCTACCAAAACTTTAAGCCTCCAGCTAGAGAAGCTGTATGTTCCACTAGGCAAGTAGAAGAATAAAGAAAACCAACCAATCAAAAGCGCTATAAGTCTAACGATCTCAAACCAACCAATCAGATTGCTCAACATAACAAACGGATACTTTCCCATAATCTTCGGTGCAGGATTTACCCCCACACCCCTTAATCATACATAACCCCAGCGCTTAAACCTACCCTAACTTAACCTTAATCCTGAATGAGGATGAAACTTGCAACAAAAATTATGAAAAGCATCCATTTGAAATGCTTAGCCATCTGATTGGTTGGTTCGAGGTCCACTCTTCACTGTTGCCCCCAAAGATTACGTAATCATATGAAAGAAAGAATAAAGACATTAAACAGTGGTTGTTGTTCTAACTTCCCTTACAAAGTAGACAAATTTCTAATAAAGATAGTGTGTGTATTTCCGATTTCTTTGTACCGCAGAAGCTCATAGCTCACCCTATGCGCTGGAAAATCACAGCGTTATGTGTGTGTTCAAAAGAAGCTACTAGTCCAACTCTTACATTAACCATGGATCTTGTTCGATTTTGCTCAGCCCATTCACATAAATCTTCATTAAGAACTGTTCTTTCCCTTAACGTTCCCCAGTGGAACATAGGGCTTCAAGCTAGTGGCTTGAAGTTTCTGTAGAGCAGTGTTTATTTTTACAGGATGAGGTTGCTAGCCTCCTCATGCCCAACCTTTCCTCTTTACCAGATTTTTATTTCTGGCTTAGCGAGGTAAAGGAGTGCGTCCAGTGGCTGGGGGTCGAACACCGGACCATGTGCATGGTCGGCGAGCGTTCTAACCGCTGTGCCACCGACGCACAAGAACTGTTTTGCATATTAGATAAGAAATACAATTAGGCGTGTTTCCCGTTGGATTTCCAAACATCAACCAGAGTGGTTGGTTAAGTAAAGGAGAAAATAAATCTATTCGTAGCGCTATTCTGTCTCATCCTGCTGATACACAACACAAGATTGATGTTAACTAGGCGGCTTTCAAAGTTATCTACAGCAGCATACCAACTAATCTTAACTTCGCCTTAGGAGTTCGTTTACTAAATATTGCTAAGACTGTCTGATGGGATAGATATTAAGAAGCCCAATTAATGTATTCAAAAAAAGAAGTTGGTTCAGGCATTGTCCTTACCCCTGCTGGTCATCTAGGTTCGAATGATCCTCAATCTTTTGTAAAAATTTCCGTAATTTTACTTGATATTCTATTTCTATTATATAATTACTATGGTTTCTTTGGGTTGCTAGTGGAACAAAGGCTTCAATCCACGTCTCCACTTGCTTCTTTCTTCCTTCTGCTTTACTTTTCACCTTCATCCATGTTAGCCCATACTGTTTCTACCAACTCCTCTTCACACCATCTCCTCCATGTCACCCTTGCACTGACGTTCCACTCGCCGCTTCCCTTTCCGCCTAGTTCCTCTCGAGCGATGGCCTGACGCTCGCGCGATGTCCTCAGCGAGTGTTCCCGTAGTTTCTTGTTGGTGATTGGTTCCGGTCCGGCCATCTGATCTTTAGTATAGATCCAACGAAGACAGTTGCTGGTTGATAAAGGTAACGTCTGCAACAGGCTGATGATTGTGGAAATATTCTTTGTCACCCACCTGCAAACTTTCTCATCCGTATAGAAGAACTGACTGACTTGACCACGTTTGTATTGAAAATCCGACTGAATTTTGTTGTTGACGCTGACTGAGTGACGAAGATTGGTTTTCCAGATTGGTTTGTTTCAGGTTGATGATGATGAATGTGTTTCTCGCTCGCCTTCTCGATTCTCTCGACATCCTCGTGTAGTTGAGACACTGCTGAACGCTAGATAAGTGAGTGAATGAAGTATCCTCTTTCAAATCCCTCCCTCCCGTTGGCGGTGATTGGCGCTGGATGTTGCTGCTGTTATTGGTGGTGGTTGGTTATTTTCATAACTTCTGTCTTGTCTATGTTCACCTGGATGGAGTACTGTCTTCTCTGATTGCTTCTTCGACCGGCTAGTTTGTCGGTCGGTTTTCGCTTGTAAGTCTTTGATTTTGTGTGACATCAAACATCATCAATCATCCACGCGCGAAATTCAGGTCTTTTAGACTCTTCACGTCGGTCCTGGCTATCAGTCCCTGTCTTCTCGTTTCCCACTCACTGTCTGACGCATAATCCAGTCAGTCCACCACAATTAGGAATATCATTCATTGGTGCTAATAAGCACCCTTGTTTGTCTGATACCTGTGTTTACTCCAAACGGTTCGCTGAGTTTTCTGTTGTGTTCTGTTATTACATAACTATTTTTCTAATCCTATATAATTCTTTTTTTTTTCTATGCTCTTTGTAGTTTATGTATTCACATTTTGAAACTTTCACATCAAGTTGGAAATTATTAACTTCTTTAATCTCTCTCTCTCTCTCTCCTTTCTTCACGAATTGGAGTTAAATAATTGATTGTAAACCATATGAACTTGGGTACAAAAAGAGGACTAAACAGCTTCTGAGGATAAAATCATCACCAACTAACCAGCCAGCAAATCTTATCATTTGAATATCAGCTGCCAGCTTATCAGCGACCCTTGGATGGACTTTCTGAACCTTCACAGTAGGAAGGTAGAGTGACCAATAGGGTCTAACAAGGCAATGTGAAGTGGATGGATGTTCATCGAGGGAATTTCTTAAGGATAGGGTTATATATCAAGGGGGCTCGCATACTTAGAATTCAGGAATCATTGAATTCCAACCCTATTTGGTTGAATCATCGTCAACGAACTT